CCTATAAGTTCATCACGGGGGGCACAGAAGGGAATTGGTGAGTATTTATTCACCAAGGCGCCCCCGGGGGTTACAAGAAATAATGGCCACAAGCTAGCAGAGAGCAGATTTAGATTGGACATTAGGAAGAACTTCTTCACAGTTGGAGTGGCCAAGGTCTGGAACGGGCTCCCAAGGGAGGTGGTGCTCTCCCCTACCCTGGGGGTCTTCAAGAGGAGGTTAGATAGGCATCTAGCTGGGGTCATCTAGACCCAGCATTCTTTCCTGCTTATGCAGGGGGTTGGACTCGATGATCTATTGAGGTCCATTCCGACCCTAACATCTATGAATCTATGAATCTCCCAAGGCAGTCCACTTGATACCAGCTGTCAACTAGTGGTTGAGCCATTGATTACTATAGCCTGAGCCCAATGCTCCAGCCACTTTTCTATCTACCTTACTTCATCCAGCCTGTACTTCCTTAGCTTACCTGCAAGAATGTTTTGGGAGCCCATTTAAAAAACCTAGCTAAAATCAAGACACTACATCTACTGGTCTCCCCACATCCACGGAGCCAGTCACCTCATCATAGAAGGCAATCAGGTTGGTCAGGCATGATTTGCCCGTGGTGAATCCATGCTGACTGATCCTAATCATATTCTTCTCCTCCAAGTGCTTAGAAATAGATTCCTGGAGGACCTGCTCTATGATTTTTTTCCCCCAGGGACTGAGGTGAGGCTGACTGGTCTGTAGTTCCCTGGACCCTCTTTTTTCCCTTTCTTAAACATGGGAACTATATTTAACCTTTTCCTGTCATCCAGGACCTCTCCCTATTGCCATGAGTTTTCAAAGATAACGGCCACCAGCTCTGCAATCACATCAGCCTGCTTCCTTGGCAACCTTGGGTGCATCCCATCTAGACCCATGAACCTGTACATGTCCAGCTTTTCTAAATAGTCCCTAACCTGTTCTTTTGCCACTGTTGGCTGCTCACCTCCTCCCCAAACTGCTGCCAGGTGCAGTAGTCCAGGAGCTGACCTTGCCTGTAAAGCCCAAGGTGAAAAAGGCATTGAGCACTTAAGCCTTTTCTGTATCCTCTGTCACTATGTTGCCTTCCCCATTCAGTAAGGGACCCACACTTTCCCTGATCTTCCTCTTGTTGCTGATGTACTTGTAGAAACCTTTCTTGTTACCCTTCACATGCCTTGCTAGCTGCAACTCCAGTTGCACTTTGGCCTTCCTGACTTCATCCCTGCATGCTCGAGCAATGCTTTTATACTCCTCCACAGTTGTTGATCCAAATTTCCACTTACAAGTTTTGTTTTTGTGATTTAGTTTACTGAAGAATTCCCTGCTAAGCTAGAGTAATGGACATGCTGCATGTTCTACATAGTAACTACTGTATGGGAAGTTACTATGTTGTTTTTTTTCCAAGGGGTAACTTTACTATGTCTTAAATTGATTTATTACGTCATGTATGTCCACTCCACTTTTACCATCTGCTAACATTGATTTACAGTACTACACGGTAAATGTTATGTATCCGCCCCTTGAGCTTCTCTCTACACACAGCCCTCTTTTAACTCTTTCACGTGTCCCCCCCCACCAGTCACACCCAACTTCAGGTCAAGGTTCCTGCTCCTTTCCCTTTTCCTCCCTTTGCATCCTTTCCTAACTCCCGTCTCCACTACCTCCCCCAAAAAATCATGGAACAAACTTGCTCCTGGCTGAAAAGCAAATAGTTTCCTTTGCCTGTTTACTGTACTGTACCCTTCCCTTGCCATATTGCTGTCTTATCTATTTACACTGTCGCAGGGGCTGTCTGCTACCCATTGTGCTGGGTGATGCAAAGACACAGAAACGCCAGTCTTGGCTGACCCTTGAGAACTGCCATAACACACAAACAATGTTAGCAGAGAGAAATGCAGCCTGGCCCACTGTTTGTCATTTCAATGAAGTCGAGAATCCCCTTGTCTCATAATTAATAATTTACAAGAGACTTGTTATTTATTCGGTAAATTATTAATGAATGTAGCTCAGTGAAGGTTTGAAACTATTGTATCGTTTCATTCTATTGAATACATGAGAGTACCTGAAGCACTTATACTGGCAGGAAAAAGATAGTTGGATACTCTTTTTACTTTGTTATGAAGGTGTATACAAAACATGGCTCATTTGAGTGTGAAAGCTGCTTCTGCTATGTATTTGGCTTCAGTGGAAATTGAATACACTTCATGGAAGTTGAGCTTTCAGGGGTAGGCTATGGTCTGCCACGATAAGATGCAGTTTAAGCTGACCTGGTATCAGAATAGGCCTGGAGGAAAAGTTTAAACTTGCTAATTAATGCAGGTGCTTTTCTTTTTTTGTTTTCCTTTATTCTTTATTCTCTTTCAGACTGTTGTACTCACAGGGCTTCTGAATAATTCACTGCAAATCTTTACTGCATGTGTTGGCACCAGTACACTGGGTGTGTGTTAACTCCTGGTTTCTTTTTTTTTTTTTTTTCTCTTTCACAAGATTGAACAGCAACTGACCCTTGAACAACTCCAGAAATTAAATACAGCCTTTCAGGTATGACTGCACCAGTGACATTGTTATACTGATATGCAGCATTGCTCACAAAAAGAAACACCCAGTATATGATGATCATTGTTCAAAACAGAGTTGATTTGAAATAACTTTTTGGGGCCAAGTCTATGTCTTTATCTGTACAGTGATGAGCACACTTTTAGCACCACTGCAATATACTATATTTTTTTAAATAAATGTTGTTTTGTGTTTTTTAGTTAATGTTAAAAATAAGTTAATTACATTTGACGGTTGTTTCCGTGTGTAGTTTTCAATCACCTTAATGTTTATTTCTCAGAATTGCTGTCTCTTCTAGTTTTGTTTGAAATAAGTACCTTTTGGGTGGCACTCAGGATTTTTATAATTAAACTTGCCAAACTGCTTCTCTTTCTCTCGCTAGTATATATGTGTTTTTTCTTAATGCACAGGCCAGCAGATTTAAATCTTCTTTGTGTTTGCATGAAGACTTGCTCCCCAACTCATTTGTATGCTGTTGCTCGCACACACATTTTGGGAAATCTATAAGGAAGACTTTTATTAAAATCCTAACAAGTGGATCATTCCTTTATTCCTTTGGTGACATCACAAGGCCAATCAACAATAATGACCCTACATTAATGGCTCAACCATCCAATTACTTTAACTTACAGGAATGCAGTGAATGCCCACTGATTTGAAAAAACAACACGCAGAACAGATCCCCTAAAGACCCGTATATTAATATGGTTAAATCAGTGCAAAACTGCAATGGCAAATAACTGCACTCTTGTAAACCCTTTTAACTACAGGCACTCCTCACTTAACGACCGAGTTCCGTTCCTGCGACTAGGTCGTTAAGCGAATTGATCGATAAGCGAGGAGCCGCCCCTTGATACTGCGTGCCTTGGCTTGAGACGCCGCGCTGCTGTTTCCACGACCAAAGTTCTCGTACTTACGACCAGTTCTCGCTGGTCGTAAGTCCGCGTGGTCGTTAAACAGGTAGGTTGTTAAGTGAGGAGTACCTTTATGCTGAAGTTATGATGTTCTGTATTTCCTCATTGTGGACAGGACTTCAGTAAAGGGGTACATGAATGTGAGTGGTTCTCAATCTGTAGCCTGCTGTCTTTGGAGCACTTCTTGATGGTGCTCTGCTGTCTGCCCCGAGGTGTGGGTGCATGCGCTGGTACAGAGCTGATGCCGGGGGTCCGGAGCCCGACACAGCTGTTTGCAGCCTCCCGGCAGCAGCTGGCCTCAGCTCTGGGTAGCTGCTGCCAGCCAGGAGCCCAGGCTGGGGGGCGCACAGGTCACTAGGGCTGGGGGGCAGGGGCTTTGGGTGTGAGGCAAGGGGCACAAGCAGGGCATCCTGCCATGGACCCCATGCCCTCATTTTGTTTTTCTGTCATGCCGGCCCTCTGGCACCTTCCAAGGTAGGCATTGTGGTGTTTTTTGGCACTCCGGCCAAAAAATGTTGCCTACCCCTGCACTAGGATCAGTAACTAAGGAGAAGAACCATGAGCCACCAGGAGGCAGAAAATGTATCTGGGGAAGAGAAACAAGAAGGAAATGAGGAGAGGAGTGGGAAAATAAGCAGCGGAGGGAGTATGGTGTTTTGTGTTGTTTTATTTTTCTTCCCCTCTGAAGAGGACAAATCATTTTTAATCAGATACCCAAATATTTCCCTGATGCAGATCTCACTCAATGTAGTTCGATTAGTCCCAGGGTTGTGTTCTCAGTAACTGTAAATAGAAGGGGATGTGTACATGAGACACAGGATGGTTAGGATGCCATCCTGGAACATGGGAAGTCTGTGTTTCACTCTGAACTTCACAACAAGCTTCCTATGTAAGCCTGAGCAAGCCTCTTGGTCTCTACCTCGGTGCCTGTCTGTAAAATGGAGGCAATACTATTTCCCTATCTCACCAGGGCATTGGACTTCAGTGGCAGAGCAGTAGCGGCATCTTGGTGTGGTTCCAGGTGTAAAGTTCAGTCCTCAATCCTGGCACATGCCAAAGGCCATATGTAGTTTACCCAGCTATAAATGAGGACCTGCTCATTTGGGCCAGGGGCTCAAAGAAAGCTAGATGTGAAGCTAGCAACGTCATTCCCTTGCATGTCTTTGGCCATAGAGAGTGCTGGGTCTTAGCCCAGTGGGCTGTTGGCCAAGGCTAAAAGTCCACTGGAGTTTTTTTTTACTTCAGCAGGTACATTATGCCAGGTGCCCAGATACTTTAGTAATGTCCAGGGCAGACACCAAAACCATCTCCTCAATGCTTGTAACTTTGTTCCGTCTCTGCCAACACTCCCAAACTTTAAGCAAACCATTCATTTCCCAATTAACATTTTTCTTTTTTTAGGAAGTCTAAAATTAACATGGTGGCGGTTTTCTTTTTTGTTGGGTTTTTGTTTTGTTGATTTTGAATGGCTGAGAAAAAACAATATTATTAACACAGCCAAGAAACTAAAATGTAGCTCAACAGATCTGTTTGAAATTATTTTTTAAAAGTCTGAACTGAGAAAAAACACAAGCAGTTTCAACCAAATATTATAATCTACTGAAGTAGGCTGTATTGTCCATTATCTAACTACCTATTTACAGTAATGCAAGCTGGAACCTGTGATATGTTTTGTAGACTCCTCTACTATAAGAATTCATATTCTACATTGTTACATAGTGTGAGATTATGACCATGTTTTAAGAGGAAGTAGTCTTTCAGGCTAACTCCTTATTAACATGCTCTCACATTAAGGATCTTTTACCATCAGCAAGTCAAAGGTAAGCTTTTTTATGAGCTAACTTTCTTGTATGTTCTTGCTTCTGCTTTCAGGAGTTAGAAGAGAATGGATGTAAATCATTGGATGTAGAGAAATTCAAGCAGATAGTGAAGAAGAGTATGGCACCATATAACTCAGTAAGCAAGCAACAATGGTTTGAAAGTTAAATAACAGGAAAACCTGTATTACAATATTAAAAGGCTTTTTCATCATGTACCTTTTCCTCCATACAGAGTGATGAACAAATTGAAGAATTTTTCATGAAAATTGACTATGCTGCAACTGGAACAATTCGGTGGGTAAGTGGAGGTTTTGATGTGGCTTTCTTTTTGTTGTTCTTTCAGGCAGTAAGGAATGGGTATGCAAATGGCAGATCTGCAGCTTCCAGAAATGTAGCTCAGGTGGATTAGACTTTCATTTTGTCCAAGTTGGCCAACATTGAGAGAGGGAAAAGTGAATAAGTGTGCTAGAATACAAATTTCTACTTATTGTCTTTAATTCTTTTTATTCTGTACAGTACCAACCATGTGATTTAATGCTCAAAAAATAAATTCCCCAAACCTTTCATTCATGTCCCATGATCATAAACCAGAAATACAAAAAAAGTCTAGACAGATGAACAGAGAAGGCTGCTAATTGATTTGTTTATGTCTTACAGCAATAGTAAGCATCAAGCTGTGAGCAGAGGACATGATTCAGTAAAAGAATTTAAGCATATGCCCAGATGTTTTCTGAATTGGAGCCTCAATGGTCTATATAGCTGCAAATAAAGCTCTTGCAGAACACAGTAGGAAGCAACCATGAAATGCTTTCTTTGTTCAGACCCAAGCCTCTTTCCAGCCTGCACTTTACCAAAAAATCTCTCACTTGGCATGATCCTGCGAAAAGTTGTCAATACTTCTCTCTGGCCTCTGCCAGCGACTGGGGCAGGGAGTCCCCATGCGGCGGATCCCGCCAAGGCAGGGGGCGGGGGGCAGGGGGAAATCCCCAGCAGCTGATCGTGAAACAGCTGATTGCTGCAGCCACTTCTGGGAGCTCCATGGTGCTCCACTCCCTGGCCAGCGCTTGCAGGGGGGGGCACCAGCGCTCCTGCCTGTCCCCCCTGCCCATCACCTAAGCAGTGAGCGTGGCCGGTCAGGGGGTGCACTGGCGCACACAGTCACCACTGACTATGCTGATCAGAACTATGGAGACTGTCTCCAACTGATACAGCCACGCTGGTAGAAGTCCTTACTTCCAGTGCTGTTATACTGGCAAAACTATATAGCTTGGCTTGCTTATATAGCAGGAGCAGGCAACTCTTTTGGTTGGAAGGCCGCTTAATGAGTTTTGGGGGAGCTGTCAAAGGCTGCAAAGGCGGTCCCACCCCAATCCCTGACCTTTGCCACTGAAAGTCCCTCCCCTTATCCCCAGAAGTACTCCTTGCCCAGCCATCTTGGAACTGGAAAAAAAATTGTATACTAAAAATCAAACATCCACAATAACATATATTAATATTATTTTAAAATATATATTTTTGTCCTGATTTGTGTGTGTTTGCATTGTGTACATAGAGGTGATTACATAATAGCTCAAAATGAAGTCTTACTGTATATTGCAGGGGGTGAGGGGCATATGGGGGGTGGGTGTGGAGCTGTGTGTGTGTGTGGATATGCTTGTGTGTAGGGTGTGGGGGTATGGATATATGTGGATTTGGTGGGTAGGTATGCGTGGTGGGCTGTGTGCATGTAGCAGTGAGCAGGGCTCCCCCCAGAGGCATGTGGGTGTGTGTGGAGGGTTTGGGAGATGGGGGTGTGAGGGAGGGTGTGGGTGGATGCAGAGGGTGGGGTTTGTGGGGGAGGGTCTGAAGGTATGGTGAGGTGTACATGGAAGCCTCCTGCACCCCCCCCCCGAGCCAATCAGTACCACCCCACAACAGCTGGAGCCTAGGTGCCCTGTGGCATCTCACCACCACCACCACCAGTGCACAGCTCCAGCTTGCCTCACATCTGCTCTGTACTGCCCAGCCATGGCTTGTCCTGCCAACCCCAGGCACACAGCAGGGGGGAGGCGGCTCCTTCTGGCTGCTGCTGCCACTGGCCCCAGCCCCACGGTACTGGCGGGGACTTCCCCAGTTAGGAGGTATAAAAATATCACCTTACCCTCACTGACATAGCCATTTCAGCCAGACCCCTGAGATAGATGCAGCTCTGTCCATGGGGTGCTTTTGCCAGTTAGGGTTATATTGTTTTGGGAAAGTGGTGTGGGAATACCTGCAAATACCTGTTGACATCTGTGGAGTATCTGCTACTTGGCTCTGCCAACATAACTGCACTAGCAGAAGCTCTGCAGTGTGGAGGGGTAGTCCGTCTGCAATTCTAAACTTTGTGCTGCTGCTTTCACATGGATGTAGACACCCCACTTCCATCAAATCAATCCCTGGCTTCTGTCTTTGTTCACCAGTCCCCCAGGTCCTGGTCTAGTCCTAGGGAGGCAGCATTTCATTGTTTCAGTTACCGGTACAGAAAGGAGCATTCTGTTGATTTATTTATTTTTTAAAGCATCTTTGACAAGGGGGTATGATTGCTGAACTCCTAGGGGAACAGCAACATGGTGTCTGTTTAATAGCTGCAGTTATGACTGACCAATTATTTTTTCTGGAGTAGGATGACTTCTGCACATACATGCAGCTCGAATACACTGAACAGGATGGATCCTCTGCCCGGCTGAAAAAGCTGACCTTCTCACTCCCTGCCATGATACAGGAACTCTCTTATGGAGAGGCCATCCTGCGCATTAGTTCTCTGCCCGACAACACATTAGTGATAGCTAGAGAAGATGGACTCATTTCCTTCTGGTCTCCACAGCTACAGCAGAAACGAAGCAAGATGGTCTTTGTACGTATGTTTTATTTGCCTATAAATCTCTTGAGTTTCGGAGTAATGCAGGAGTCCTTGATTTTTACTAATGATTTATTTTTTTCCTAGTATGTCATTCTGAATTATGACATTCACAACTGATTTTGTTATATTGCCTGGAGAAACAGGGAGCTGCACTTGAAACACAGCTCTGTCATGCTCCTTACTCCAGAGTGATTTAAAGCAAACATTATTATATAGGTGGTATAGTGCTACAGTTAATTTGAATATAATAATGAGTGAATCTGTTGCATGTTAGAAGACATTGTAGCATAAAAAAAGTCCAGTAAGTGGAAAGAATTGTTCTCTTTACTTTTGATTAAACAGATTTGGAAGGTTTGGAATGTTTGGTTTTGGTGGGAAGGGGAGGAGAAAGAACTCTAAAAGAAATGAACACAGCATGGTTCAGAGACTGTTAGGGTGGCAGATGCATGATGTGCCAGGTCTTCCCTTCGTGCAAACCGATGTTACACCACTTGACCCTAATGGGAATTACACTTGCCCATGCAAAAATGCTTGCCTCGTCTCTTTTGTTTTTATTCTTAACCAGAGCACAGTGGATTAATGTAAAAGCCATGTTTTAAAATAGTTGGTTTGGTAATTTTGCTGGTGCTGAGTGCTCTTTAATTCACATTACATTTAGTGGGAAGTACCAAGTACTTTGCAGGGTCTGGCTGAGAGGCCTGATGCTCTGTGTTAATTCTTGCAAGCCCATTAATTTTGGTGCCCGTGCAAGCATGTAACCAAAAGCAGAATCCAGCCTCAGCTGTGGTATCTTGCCTTTCTATCTAACATACGGATGACAACCACCTCTCTTGCCTTACAGGAAAAGCTCAGCAACAAGAAACCTAAGTGGGTGATGGATTTTGCTGTCATGTCTCAGTACAACAAGCTCATCCTGGGAACTGGGTAAGTGTTCTCCTTACCGGAAGTGGGAGTTGGAACTGAAAATGGAAATGTATTAGCAGTGCTCTTAGTATCTGCAAGGCAAGGAAACTTGCTGAAAGCGGTTGCATAGGCAATCCAGTCAATGATCTTGGTGCATGGACCTATGAACAACTTGCCACGGGATAAAAGGAGGGAAACCTGTCAAGTATCACAGTGGCGGGCACTTATTTCAGCTGGAGGGCTGCTTAATGAGGTGTGGCGAGCTTTTGAGGGCCACATGGGTAGCCCCGCCCTTAGACAGTTGCCCCGCCCCCTGGTCACCATCTTGGGACTGGAAGTCCTGCCCCCTAACCCCTGACCTTTACCACTGGAAGTCCCTCCCTTTGCCACCCCAGAAATATTCCTTTTGGGGGGATTGCCATCTTAAAAGCATTTTAAAAAAATCAAATCATATGCTATAGTAGGTGTTTTGACTTTTAGTGTATTATAATTTATTACAAAAAATATTTTTGTCATGATTTGTGTTTGCATAGTGTGTATGTAATAGAGATGATTGCATAATAACTAAAAAGAAATTCTTAGTTTTATATATTGCGTAGGGGTGCGTGGTTGGGGAGGGGGTGTGTATGGGGGGGCTTGAGCGGGGGCGTGGCTGGGGTGGGGGGGCAATAGGGGATGTTGGGGGGTGTATATATAGGGGGTTGTGTGGGCAGAGTGTAAGTGTGTGATGTTTATGGAGGGGGGACTCCCCCACAGGTGCTGCCAGCCTCAGCTCCATGCTCCCACCCAGCTGCAGGTCCCCCCTGCCACTTTCCTACTTGCTGCCTGGAGTGAGCAGGATGCTAGGGAAGCTGAGCAGGTCCCCCAGTGGCAGCAGCAGCAGCCCTGTCCAGAAGCTGCTGCTGGCTGGGCCAGGCCCTTCTGCCTGCAAGGGTAGGAGTGGGGCACAACAGGGTATGTTGGTGGTGTGGGTGCATGAAGAAATCGCCCTTTTCGTCTGCCTCCCTGCTCGGAGTCTGCCCAGCCCCGTCTGTTTCAAACTCTGGCTGCTGGATCCACTTGGTCAAGCTGGGTGACTGGGTTGTGAAAATTGCATGGGGAGCGGGGAGCTCGTTCTTCCTTTGTCCTGAGCTTTTCCTGCGAACAACCTGTGTGACCCTGGTCTCTACCTGAAGATGCTGATGACTTTTAAAAGAATTGGTCTGCATCCAATACTGCCTGTTTCTGGTTGGGACTTAGTGATGAGGTCACAAAAATTTTATAAGGGGTCATTCCATTTTGGAGGGAGAAGTCATCTTTGAAACCCTGAAACTAGCAACAAGCCTCCAGAGCTCCATCAGTCTTTGGATGAACATGTGAGTAATTTAACTGAAATTTAGCCAGTAATTTAGGATTAAGTGAACTGGACACATCAAAAGGGCCAACAAGCCCATTCTGTTTTGCTCGAGTAGGTTTTCTGTCAATTTTCCGTTGTTTTGTATTCCTTCCTCACTCTCTCCCTCTTTAATCAATAAAGCTATCTGTTATAGCATGCCTTGCTGGAAATGCTTATTAGGATGAGACTAGCCTTTAAAGACCCCTTTGCCCAGCTGGCTAAGGTGGGCATGGTTTTCCTTCCATACAGGAGGCTACTTGTGAATGCTTCAGACTAAAAGAAGCACCCCAAAATACCATGGTGGGCTAAGCACCCCAAGGTCAATAGGCTCTGTGTACCCTGGGCTGCTGAGAGCCCTAACAAACACTAGGGCCCAGGTGGTGTCAGCCATTGCCCCAGGCTTTCGGGTGTGCTCCAGGAAGGGGGTCGGCCAGACATAGGTGCCCCAGGTGAGACACCCAAGGTGGGGTTTTGGTTGGGCACAGTGAGGCTGGTGGCTGAGCATAGTAGTGCCCCCACTGTCCCACCACTGTATATGTGGGCACCTTGCTCCCACCCTCGTGGATGGAAGGGCTGGGTGGGGTACAATTAGTTGGTGGGTGCCACAGGCCAGATGAAAGTGTTTGGCAGGCTGGAACTGGACCACGGGCCATATTTTGCCCAGCTCTTGGATATCCGCTATTTTGGTATCTGTCGTGCATGCTCATCTACCCCATGGTCAGTGGAAACTTACTCAGGGAAATTACCCCTCCTTTACTGAGCGTTAGGCTGCCACAGTTTAACTATCATTTACCAGCAGAGGCGACCTGTGCAGGGTGTGGGGCCGGGGGCAAATCAGCCCGTGTAGGGCCCCACCCCCACTCCGATCCCAGACCCAAAGAAGCTATCGCTGCTGTTGGTGGCAAGGGAGGTAGTGAGTGGCTGGATGCAGAGCTGCCACTCTGCCCAGCTCCACGCTGCTGCTGCTCTGCACCACTCTGTGGGGACCCAAAGTGCAGGGCCCAGGGCAGTCGCCTCAATTTAAACCCCTAGGGACAGCCCTGTTTACCAGGGGTTTGTCCAGAAAGTTACAGTAGAGCAGCTGATGCATAGTAAAAACCCATGCCCTTTTAGCTTACACTAAGTTTTGTATGTCCACATTCTGAACTCGCATTGCAAAAATACAGTCACAACTGGCTTTCTTGCTGACAGCTTGACTGCACTGCTCTCTCACACTAGCAGATGGTACAGTTGGGTCAGGGTTGAGACAACCAACATTGAAAGTTTTGCTATCCAGGCTACTAATAAATACATAGATTATTATTTTTATTGCAAAGCTTAAAGAGAGAAAATGTGTTCCTGAACCCCAAAGCTAAGTTATTCTAAATTATTCTACCAAACCCTTCAATGCAGGTGTTATGGTTCAAATTCAGCCTGGATAATGTGGTGAGAGGGCTACTCCTACCTGATTGGCTCAGTGGCCTGTGTGCATTAAGTTTTGGTTTCAGTCCAAGTTCTTGAGAATTGGTGCCCCTTCTTCCAAAGAACATCACTGTACTTAACACACAGTGTTCAGTGCACAGGGACCATCCATGGGACAACCAGGGATGTGGCTGCAGGAGGCTGGGGATTAGACATGTTGGCCATGGAAGTGTAGGGGTGGATGGTTCTCCTCAATATCCTTGTTTGATGGAGATTTCAGTCCCTCGGGCTGTTAAACGAGCACTAAATTCACAAGCTATTTAAACAAGAAATACAAGCAACAATCATGAATTAACTCTACCACAAGCATGCTTAAGCTGTCTTTTACCTTTATGATGCATGTTTTACTGGGAAGATTTACTGTGCTGTAAAATAAAACTACTGCTCTTTTAAAATATGTCTTGTTTGTTGACAGTGATCATGAAATTCAGTTTTATGAACTCTCTAACTTTGAACCATACTGCCAGATCAGTAGCTTGGAAGCTATCCCTTTACGATTGGACTATTGGTAAGCAATGCTATATTTGTGTAATTTGTTCTATCTTAACATTATTTTGTTGCACACTTCTATTTAAACAGTGTTTCATTGGTGACATTTGTCTGGTCCTTGCAACATCTCCCAAGGTTCAATTTGGCATTCATGTAGTATCAAGTGATGTTTCTTCACCAACTTCCTGTCAGATGTACAACATTTCATCATCAAATGTGTAATTTTATCCCTTGCTAGGCTTAGCTTGGCATGTGCTAAATTACACTACACCAATGTGTCCCTGCCATAACAGGAGTGAATGTGACACTTTGTAACATCTATTTTGAGCAACTGCCACCAATGTGTTGGAGGCTTGTGAGCAGGTTGTCTAGCTCGCTGGCTTCTGCAGACAGGTTATTCTTCTTGGGGAGCCTCCTCAGCCAGTCCTCCTCATTAAAGCACAGTCTTTAAGTACCAAACAAGCAAACACATAAAACAAAACCTTCTGCCCTGTCAGTAAGGGCAGTAGGGTGGGAGCCCTCTGGCTCTTGCCCCAGCACAGCACCCTGCTTCCTCTTTGCCACAAGCTATTTGCTTCCTTTCAGGTTTTGTCCTGCGGTTTTAAATATGGTGCTGTTTTTGCCTCCTGACCAGTCAGCAACAAATGGCACAGCTACCAGCCCCCCTTGGCCAATCAGTGGCGAGCAGAAGAAGCAGCGTCATATTTAAAAATATGTTTTTTGCCTCCCCACTGATCAGGAGCAAGTGGCAAGCAGTGGGGCCCCTCTAGCCATCCATGGTGGAGGGGCGCACCGGGGAACCCGCAAAATTAAAGGAGCTGCCATGCACCCCACTCTCACCATGAATTTGGTAGGTCCCTAATTTTTAGAGAGGTTACACCCACACTGAACATGTAGGGAAGGATTTTGGCTAGTCTAGTCTGTTGTAGCTCCAATCTCTCTAATGTATGGGTGTCTCCAGTACATGTTAAGTGAGGTGACTGACCAACTGTTCCATGTTTCATTCTCTCGCTTACCAAAGAGCCTCTTCAGTATAAACACACAGCAGCACATACTGTCTAGTCTATGTCAAATAAATGTTCCTTGTGCTTAGGGAGGAAGCTGAGCAGGTTTATTGGGCTCCTTCATTGCTGTGGGAGTTCATTCTGCAGTCCCACACTGGCCCCCAAGAAAACTTCACCCTTGTGACAGACAGCTCCACTGTGCCTGAGGGCTGGTAGTGTCAAACACTGTTTTCCCAAAGTATTAGGCAACATTTTAGGCTCCTTAGGCACAAAGCACTGAGTTCATCTTGCAAAATGAAACAAGCCTTCCTCCATTACTTTCAACCTCAGGGAGGGCAGGGATATATTCCTTCCTGATATAAGCAGATGGCCCTCAGAAGAGTAATACTACCTTCCACCAGGCCAGGATTTGGTCTTTGCAAAACATCAGTAAATATAACACACCTTTTGCCTTATCTATGATATCTGACTCTGTTTGTTTATCTTGAACTGAAATGTCATGACTACATTTTCATTTATTACCTTTATCTTTTTACTTGTTTTAGTAACACTGATACAGATGAGTGCATGATTCTCTATGGGGATGATCAGGTAAATGTTCCAAAAATCCTTTTGAAACAGACAACACCCCCCACCTCCCCCCCAAAACAAAACAAAGAAAAACAAAACAACCCCCCCGCCCCCCAAACCATAAACCCTCTGCTATGACAACCTGAAGGGCTCAGGATTCCTCTCAGCTCTTTGGTTACTTGTAGAGCCATCCAGCAGTGTCTCTTGGCTAGCCAGTCAGTCCCATGGGATACTTAATGCATAGAGAAGATCAGTAAAAAGAAACTGCAAAGAAGCAGAATTCCCTGTGCCAGGCTGGGAAGTGGTTTTGGGAGGAGACTGTTTCAAATTAATCCTTTCAATCCCTGACCCCCAGTGTCTGGTTAAAGTTGGTATTGGGGCCAGTGTAGTGTAATGTAGCAGAGGCCCAGGAGATTCCTTGAGTTGTATGTCCCAACCTTTAGAAAGGAGGGTGTGGAGGTTTGAATAATGAAGTTCACCCACTAATATACCAGTTTCCAAGACTTCTGTCCTTGGGGTTGCTACTAGCTAGTAGTCTCTGATCTAACTTAGGGCCCAGTTCTGCAGTTTCTGCAATTTCCAGTTGAATTCAATGGCTGGCACTAAATTGAGGGTGTCCAGCACCCTCTAGGCTCAGGCCTTCCAGACCTTTTATTTTTCTGAAGCTGCTGACTTTCCCAGGCTTACTGTACCACTTATGAATATAAGATTTTGCCTCTCTGAATGCAAAAAAAATGGCATTTGGAAGTTAGCAATTTTGGGGTACTTTATTGATTTTTATCAGTACTTTGATCCTGCAGATTGCTGTGCAGCTTCTGGATGGTGTTCAATTGCCTTCAACTTTTACTGACTTTAAGAGGGTCAGGCCTTTTGATCAATGTCTGTGGTGTTAATTATCTGTTTGCTAACCATCAACATGATATCTACAGATGTCTAACACCTATATTTGAGGAAATCTCCCACTGACATCAGTGACAGTCTGAGAACTTGGCCCTATATTTTTAAGTTTCTGATGCAAGTCTTGCTGTTTCTTCAGGGTTGTGTCAATATTTTGCTCATGTCTTCTGTGGGAGAGCTCCTGAGGTAAGTACTTGCGTGTTAAACGTAATGTAAAAAAACAGGTTAAAAGTGCAATTCTTTAGTTGTCTTAAATGAACACTGAGTTTCTTTGCTCATGTCCTACTTTACTGCTAACTGTACTACAGCATTCTGTCTTGTGCATGCAGAGGTGGTCTCCGGGATGCAGCAGCATTCATAGGACGCATGTGTTCCCAGACTTCACAGGACCGCTACAATTGGACATGGAACAATTTCAAGAAGTGCAAGCCCATTCCACATCCTATCAAATAATTTCATAATTGGGCCAGCAGATGGCACATGTTGCCTTCTCAATAAATCTCCATTGTAGTGTATTGGCCAAATTATTTACTTGCCTACAGTCGGTTTATTCACCACAGAAACCCCCTGGCACTAACCATTGGGTTTCAGAACGGTGGGGTTCTGACAGGTCTTGTGAACTATTTCCCCAAAGCATTGCTCTCATCATTGACAACACACTCTAAAGCAGGGGTGGGTCACCGGGGGGATTTGACAAGCTGAAAAGGACAAGAGGAAAGAATGAAAAAGCAGAGGATGGCAAAAAGGGATGATATAAAAGGAAGATGCTTTTACTACGGAGCTAATTGGTCTGCTCCACAGTAAAGAGCATGTGTAGGTGCATCCAGTGTGGTTGTAATGGCATAAAATGTATGTGTTTATAACGTGGAATTTCAGGGGTTCACAGCTGCATGTGACCCACCTTACTCCACCCAGGAGGAAGAGGATGATGGGTAGTGCAGGAGAGGACAGCTTTGTGCTGTGGCCAGTGTCAGCAATAAAGCTTGGGCTACCCTTGTGGCTGTGAGAAGAAAACTGCAGTATCTTTTATTCATGGGGAGCTTGCACCTACTAACAATATCTGACAAAGACAACTTTTGTTTACAAAAGCTTTTGCCTCTTTGAACAGTTTGTTTCGGTGCCATCCTGCCCTACCTTGTACCCATCAACAGTAGCTCTAACAAACAACTCCTGTCCTTGCAGTGGCAGGACATTGACCTCACCTTCATCTCTGCTTTACCTGTAGCAAGTTAGAGTGTTTTTGATGTTTTGGGCGTTATCCCTGGTAGCTGTGCATGAGGGTTGTTCTTGAAAAGCCTCAGGAACAGAAATTCCTGGGGCAGCTGTCTATGTGCTGAAGTGCAAGATAAATTGCTATGCTCTTATAAATAACCTCAGGCTGTGAGGAAGAGTCAAGGTTTCTAAGTGAGCTATAGCTCTCAAAAGCTTGGGCTATATTGTATATTATACTATAGTCCGTCCTGTATGGACTAAATGTGTGTCCGTGTGATGTATAATGTTTATAATCCAAATAATATTGTGTGACATATTTGCTATAATATAATACACATACATACTTTGATTGGTTTATAGCATGCAAGTCTAGCCTGCCTTCTATGTGCAGGGTCAAACAGGCCAAAGAAGAAATTTGCTTCCTAACACTCAAGGATGCTTGTTGCCGTCTCTCTTCCAATCTTTCTGCCTTCACTTTTTTCAGAATATGGAGAAAACTACCAAAAGACGAAAGCCTGCCTAATATTGGCCTGGAGAGTGCTGTTTGTTCTCTAAATGTCACTTACATTCGTTGGAAAGTGCATGGCGATTGGGTTACACAGGTAGTAATAATAACAACCTTTCTTTCTGACTCATAGAATCATAGAAGTAGGGTCAGAAGGGACCTTGCAGATCTTCAGGTCCGACCCCCTGCCTGGGCAGGAAGAAAACTGGGCTCAAATGACCCCAGTCAGGTAGGCATCGAGCCGCTTCTTAAAGACCCCCAGGGTAGGAGCCAGCACCACTTCCCTTGGAAGTTGGTTCCAGATCCTAGCCGCCCTAACTGTGAAGTAGTTCTTACGGATGTCTAATCTAAACCTACTCTCCAACAACTTGTGGCCATTATTCCTTGTTATCCCTGGGGACACTAGGGGAAACAAGGTCTCCCCCAACCCCTTCTGGTCCCCCCTAGTGAGTTTATAGATGGTCACCAGGTCCCCCCTCAGCCTTCTCTTGTGAAGGCTGAACAGGTTCAGGTCCCGTAGCCTCTTGTTGTAGGGTCTGCCCTGCTGTCCCCGGATCATGCGGGTGGCCCTCCTCTGGACCCTCTCAATGTTGTCCACATCCCTCTTGAAGTGGGGTGCCCAGAACTGGACACAGTACTCCAGCTGCAGCCTGACCAGTGTCACGTAGAGGGGGAGGATCACCTCCTTGGCCCTACTTGAGATAAACCTGTGGATGCATGATAAGGTCCGGTTAGCCCTGCCGACCGTGACCTCGCATTGTCGGCCCATGTTCATCTTGGAGTCCATAATGACTCCAAGATCCCTTTCTGCCTCCGTGCTCTCAAGAAGGGAATTTCCCATCTTATAAGTATGCTGCTGGTTACTACTGCCCAAGTGCAGCACCTTGCACTTGTCAGTATTGAAACGCATCCTGTTTTTGTTAGCCCACCCCTGCAACCTATCCAGGTCTTTCTGCAGTCTCTCCCTCCCTGCTAATGTGCCCACCTCTCCCCTTATTTTGGTATCATCAGCAAAATATGTTTGCTAAAAACATATGCTAAAAATGCTCCAAATGCTAAAAACCAGTAACACAGGAAACTTTCCACAAATGAAATCTCCATGGTAATAGTAAGGTTTCAGTTGCATGTCTGGTCTGTGTGCAGGAGGAACCTTTTTCATTAAAATAACACAGCTGGCATGAAGGCAGGAAGAACAGCCCAAATTGTCAAACCTGATGTAAGGAGGGAAGAGAATTTGACATCAGAAAATAAGGAATGAAATTCAGACCAAGAGGGTGTTGTGAACCCTGGGTCAAGAACTCCTTAGCTCTCACTTTGGCTCCAGTGGCACCTGTTTTTAAAATGTGGCATGTACATCAGCCCATTGGGCTGAATTGCTGGACTGTGGCATAAGTGAGGAGATCTGAGTGGAGGATTACAGCGTGTTCAGGATCCAAAATCAGGAGCTATCAAAGAATGGGCATGGAACTGAAGAAACATGCTAAACCTTTCACAGCCCTAAACTTCAAACCTGTCCATGTGCCAGGGCTGAATGCTACCCTTCCTGGACCTTTTCCCCAGAGTTTATTTCTCACGCCCAAAATAATATTTGACAGGTTTCTGAGGCTGCTCTGAGTTCAGAAGTGTTAAAGGTAGTCCAGTGGTGATGGGCTAATGAGATATTCAGATGCATGCTGACTGGCTGAGCTGAAGAAATGAGGAGCATTTCTATAGTGCCCGAGGGTTGGTTTGTTTGGTTTTTTTTTAAACTTGTGGCCCCTAATCTGGAAAGAATTTCTAGTGGGAGAAGCCAAAATAGTAGTCCCATGTTACAGCTCAAGCAGCTGAGGAATATATCCAGTGCTAAGGAAATAAAGGATTTCTCCCCAAAGGAAGCAAAGGGCATCAAGTCTGGTTTGCTATTGGTATCAAAGCCTCACAGCTGGTGAAGCCTCTGCCCAACTTGCTTGCTTTCTCTAAGTGGCAGCCAGTGTGTGTTGGGGGAGGGGGGAAGGAATTGCTGGTAAAGCCTCTGGCCTGGCCTTGCCCACATTTCCCTCCTGTGCCACATATTGGGTCATTGTGGCTCACGAATGCAGCCCACGTGGGTCAGCAGCAAGAGGGACTCTTTGGTCTTGAAGGAAAGGTCAAGAATTGCCTGGCGTGGACTGAAGAATTTTGCTTCACATTCTTGAAGGCTGATAACTAGTCTACGGGCACAGACAGTGCACAAGAGGTGCTGATGATCTTTGCCTTTCTTCCTGATTTCCAGAGAGCAGAATCAATAGGAGAACCCCTACAAGGCAGGGCATAGCTCAGAGGAAAGGGCAAATAGTGCTGAACATGGAAGACAATTTGGGGAGCATCCGGGTCCATCTGTGCTGATTGCTGTTAAGGTACCTGAGTTGGCACCATACGCTACAATGGGCTATGGAAACGTACCCTCAGATTAGCACGGAAAGTCCTAAAATGACTGAGGATCTGTCATGCCTTTGGATGCACAAAGGAGCAGTTTGAGACTGTTTTGCCACTTTACATAAGGGAACAGTAGGAACATTATTCACTGTAATGCACCCACTCAATCCACCCTTGCACAATTTAAAATGTTGTTTTGTGTTAACATATTCTTCCTCCTTTCAGAAGCAAAACCCCTTGAACAATGGAAACAAACAAAGTAACTCCAGTATCCTACACCCTCCTTTAATCAATGTTTTGTATTATTTGTATTTAATGTTATTCTCTTGTTCTGTTCTTTTTAGCTAAACTACTGTGATTCCATGAAAGCAGTGATTTCTACCTCCAGCCATGAGTCTACAGCTCTAGTAATAGGTAACAATTTCGTTTCTATAACTTTCTCCAGGAAGTTCCTGCAGCATAAATTTGTATGATTTAAAACACAATTTTTCTAAGCTTGCTGTCTTCCCTTTAGTGTAGTGGCTTGGTTACATCACTGCCAGCTGGCTAGTTCGATCTCTAGTAATAACTGTGTGTGTGAACTTTTCAACTAGGCTAGGAACAGACATTACACATAAACTAGTTTAAACCTGTAACAGAACAGATGTTCAGTACACATAAACCAGTTTGAAAATGGCTGAAACCAGCTTGAGATAAACCTGGTTGAATGTAGTATCAGACTTAACTGATTTTGGCTCAAACTGGTTTATGCAATGTCTGTCCCAGACTCCTTGCTGGTTTAAGTTAAATCAGAGTCCCTCAGTATCCTGGCATGCTCTCTGGGCTTGGCTGGGCTCTCTGCTCCACAGCAGGTCTGCTCCTCCCCTCTGCTTCCTGGATGGAGCTCGGCACAGACTTGCAGGCACAGCAGGGTCTACTGGCTTCCCTGTGCCCCCCTCTTTTTCCCCCCACCCTCGCTACTTAAGCAGAGATGCCTTCCTTCCTCCTCTCTGCCACAGCAGGGACCGTAGCCAGCATGTGCTATGCTAGCTAATGCCAAGAGGTGTCTGTGTGTGTGTGTCTCTCTCCAATTTCACTGGGATAGGCAGACAGAGCAGTGACCGCTTAGGGCTTTTGGAGCTAATCAACAGGTCAGCCGGTAAGCTGTTTAAAAAGTTTGAAGTAATGTGGAGAGAGGCTATTGTTTTGCTAATTTGGTGAGAGAGACTGTTATCAGCTGCTCAAATAGTTCTGGTTCTGTACCATTTGAGAACACTGTTCCTCCCAAAAGGGTGTAAATTTATCTGCTGAGCAGTCTTTCTTTTACAGAAGTTATGCAGCACAGTTTTGTTATGCAGCAAAATCTATACAGAGTGAAAGATTTTTAGGCCAGAAAGTATTAAATTATTTGTTCTCACCTTTGGTGTAAGGCAGATCATGACAGTTACCCAGAGATGGGCACAAAATAGATTTTCCCATCCCAAACAAGTTAGTTAAAATTGCCCTGTCCTGAAATGTGATAAAAATTTGAAAACCCTTAAAAACTTGAAAAAATGTTTGTGAACCTGATAGCCCTGGGGAGGGGAATCAGATCAGGTCAGTCTCAACATGCTTTATTTCAGTAACTTCAGAATGTTTCATTTTTTATTTTGACTATTTTCCCTCTATCCCTCTTTATTTATACTAAATAAATTAAAAACAAGAAAAGAAAAATTGTTTTGAACCTAGATGAAACTTTGGCTGCTGACAGATATTAAGACAGTGGTATAATTGGGGTTTGAAGAATGTTATGCCCCACCCTCAAAGTTCCTTAAACTCCATTCATGTCATTGCCAACTGCCAGCACCCAAGGAGCCCCTTACTGCAAGCCCTGGCACAGGTAGGAGTCCTGTCCTGGCCTGTAGCTGTCCCATGAGTTGCAGGGCAGGGCTGTTTTTGAAGCTGCACATGCAGCTGAAGAGCAGGGAATTCCCAGCTGCTTGGGCCCTGCACCAGGAAGCAGTATGTGCAGTTGGAGCATAGGGAGCTCCCTGCTCCCCAGCTGCTGCTTCCATGGGCACTAGTTTTCAAGTGTGTTCTCAAATCCTGAGACTAAATGGTAGGTGTAATGAGAAAAATATGTTGACACAGAAACCCAGGGCTGGCTATGACTAGGACTGAAGGACTGTTGTTTTTGTTGACTGCTACTTCAGATCACTTACATTTCCAGCCCTAGAAGATATGGAGCATATGTATATCTCATAGATTGAGCAAAGGATACACAGCTCTTCAGCACCTTTCAGAGACTCCAGTTTTGCAAAACACCTCAGTATGTGAATTATGACTAGAATAACCTTCTAAATCTCATTGATTCAGTGCAAATGGGAACAGGATCTTTTTTGAACACATATATGAGTGGAGTTTTGCCAATATTCAAAGAAATGCTTACATACCCCCAGTCATCTAATACAGAAAAATTCTCCTTTTCAGCATAACGGAGAACAAATACTAAGCTTTGTCTACAGGTGTTTTTCTCCCCGCCTACCCACCTAAATTGGGCCCTCCCTACTGCAGCATAGATCATTATCTGTCAATGAAAGTGGAGTGTGAAAGCTCATACCTCCTCTAGTTCAATTTGGTTTCCATAGTAACTGTTTAAACATAACCGTTTTATCAATCTGAACCTCTGTTAGTTCAATACGCAATTATAAATATCCCTCCAAGTTTCTATGGTAATGGTTTTAACTCCATGTGGTATAGTTTTTTCTACAAACCCCTAGAAATAGTAGAAATTACTTTGATGCAAAATGTCCCTAAATTTTTCATCTTGAAATACCCAATACTGTTGTCCAGTGCCCCAGGACTCGCTTGTGATGAAAATCCCTTTTACTTCAGTTTCTTAACCAAATATTTTAATTCTCTAGCCACATGAGCAGCGCTGATAGCAACCCCTGCCTGACTTGAGCATTTGTCCTTCTCAGCTTATTTAGTTTTCATATACTCAAGAGCTGGAGGACAAGCAGATGACACTAAGAACTGATCTGGTGCATTTCAGGGAGATTTCATGCTGTTTATGGTGAATCTTTGTTTCGGTTAATTTTTTTTTTCCAGCCTAATTTATAATTGTGCTGTAAGTGCCACATTTTTATAGTAGCTCCCATCAATAGTCTCAATAGAAAGTACAAGTATTATCTACTACCTACCATTGCTGTTAGAAATGTTGTTATCTGCTTTTTAAGAGAAGAAAATGGGGTAGAACATTGAAATCAGTAAATGTCAAAAAGGTTATTTGTTCAGCCCAAACACATTCTTTGTCTAATACTACACCATCATGGTACTGGCAGTTTTATGACATGGGACTATAGATGCACATAATCAAGAATAGGTGATGCTGGCACAGTGACCAGAGAGGCTCTCTTTGCTTTTCTTTTGGCCATCCACACCCATTTCTTTTCATCCTCATCAAGAACTTATTTTCTGAGTAGATCACAGATGGGCCATGTACAGAGCTTGAGGTGAGAAAATAATGGATCATTAATCTGAACCTACCAATGGCAGAATCCTCTCTGCAGCAACACATTCACTTTCCATTTAAATGCAACTCTCTGCATTTTCCAGAGCCTCTTTCAGTTTAGATATTGGAGAGGGAAGGAGGACTAGAACACCACTGGTTTTGCATTTCTGGCCACCTTGCCCTCTGGCATGGGAATTATATTTCCTGTTCTTCTGACTCCTGTTGGGAATAAACCTTGAAAGTAGTATTGTAAAAACAATAGTAATGAGGCTTCAGAGTTGTTTTCTTTGCACTTATACCTTCTTGAATCTTTCCTCCTTATATCTGTATCCGCAGGCAGATCCAGAGGGGGTGCAGTGGGACAACTGCATCCCCTTCTACCTCCTTTTTGGAGTAGATCACACCCTGGGAGCCCTGGAGGCTTTTAAAAAAAGTTTTCAAAGCAGATAATCCCTTCCCCTTCATGTTTCGAGGCAGGCCCCCTCTCCTTCCCTTCCCCCTCCTCTACCTGCTGCTACTGCTTTTCCTGCTGCTCTGGGGACAGGGAAGCCAGGCTGTACATCGTGGGCTCAGCTGGGAACACTGACGGCAGCAGAGGCAATGGGCAAGCAGTTCCCCCTTCCTGTGTTTGCTCCTGAGGGGGACTGGGCAGAGTGGAGAAATGCACCCCTGCGCATCTCCACTGCTACCACTGTCCCTGTTCCAGCTGAGCCCAGCCCCTTTGTAGCCCAGCTGGAACGGGCACGAAGGGCTTTGAAACCTCTTAGGCCTGGGACAGCAGAAAAAGCAGTAGCAGTAGGCAGAAGTTTGGGGGAGGGGGAAGGAAGGGGATGTGCCTCTGAGAATGAAAGTGGGGGTTTATCATCTGCTTTGGGGAGTTTTAAAAGTCTCCAGAGGCTCCAGTGTTGCAGTCTGCCCATTCTGGTGCATGGGGAGGAGGTGGCTGGAAGGGTGACTGTTGCTGCACTCACCTCTGTCAAATCCTGGTTTCACCCCTGCTTGTATCTCTTCCCTCTCATTCCCGGTGCTTTTTCACGTTCCATGTGTTAAGCAGTGGCACAGACACTGTGTCCCTCTGAAACGCTGTGGAAGGGTACAAGCAGAGTAGAGCTTGAAACACTGAGTTCAGTTCTGGCTTCCTTGGCTAGAAAGAAGTTAACAAATCAGAGAAATTTCAGAGTAGGTTAGCAAAATAGTTCAGGGGCTGGAAAGAATTGGCTTATCTCTGTGTTTGGCTAATGGGAAACATGGTTTTACAAGGATCTGAAGGTTCCCCCGCAGAGGCAGCTGAAATAATGCTAAAAGGGAGCAATAGCATGACCACAAATGTAAAATGATTGTTGGAGAAATTTCCTGGAACTGAAAATTGATAGTGCCTGATCTTTGGGAGATGGCAGGAACTGCATTGGCTGTGACAACTTCAACCAACTCTAAGTGAGTTTATCCTTTTATTTTTAGGGTGCACTGTAGGGGCAACCAATGTTGAACAGCAGATGAAAGAAATAAAAGATTCTGGAAAAGAATCAAGGGGGAAAAAAGTACAGATGATCCCCAGTGTCCCCACAAAGAGAGCTGAAGGTGATCAGACAGTATTCCGCATCTACAAAGGAGTGAAAACATTTGCATTCTGCAAAAAATACAACCTCCTAGTGACCGGAGGCATGGATCGGATCATCCGGCTATGGAATCCTTACATGCCCAGGTTAGAGTGTGTTCAAGCATACTTGTTGCAAAGGAAGCACATCTTACTGACAAGCAGCTCTTGCTTGTTGGTAAGAATCAGCTAAGCAAGTGTATGGAGAAGAAAATCATAAATGTCCTCAGAATAGGTTTGAACTGGTGAAAATGGTTTTGTTGCACAACGTATAGTATCAGCATGTGTGAGCACTAATGCAAGCGCGCACAGAAATAAGTTTCCCTTGCCCTTAAGAAAAATACGCACGTTAATACAGGGGTGGGTAAAATACAGCCTGTGGGCCAGATCCAGCCCACGAAGGGACTTTTTCTAGCTCACACCGGGTCCCTTGGTTCTGCCTAGCCCAGGTGTCCTTCGGCTCATGGTGCATCCTGCTGCCCCTAGGGCACACCATGGGGCTGGGGCAGGCATGGGTTGGGGCTCTGTATGCTGGTTCTGGCTGGTCCAGAGCTGGTCTGCTCTGCCAGGCTGAGTTTGCAGCAGGCATGGGGTGGGCTGAGGTCAGAACTGTGTATGTCAGTCACCACCAGTACCACGGGGCTGGGGCCAGTGGCGGTGGCAGCTAGAAGGAGCCACTTTCACCTCCTGGGCTGCCTAGGAAGGCAGAATGGGGCAGGGTTGGGGCTGTGTGCTACTGAGGAGCTGCAGGGTGCATTGGCTCCAAGCTGTTGAGGAGCGGGGGTTGCTGACTGGCTCATGGCAGCTCCCCAGAACTGCCTACGTGGCTATGGGCCCAAATAATTGCCTGCCCCTGGGCTAGGCCTATTCAGTTTAGAAGAGAAATGCTTGAGGCGGGATATGACAAGGGTTTACAAAACAATAAATGGTGAAGAGAAAGTAAATAAGAATTTATTAATTAGTATCTCTTGCAGTACAAGAACTAGGGGTCACAAAATGAAATTAGTAGGTAATAAGTTTAAAATTAACAAAAGGAAGCTATGTGAAAGAGAGCTTCTTTTTGTTAATTTTAAACTTATCATGAAAGTGTGGAACTCACTGCCACCAGATGGTTGTAAAGCTGACAGTTTAACCAGATTCAAAAAGGGATTGGACAAATTCTTGAAGAAAAAGGGCATCAGTAGCTATTGATCATGGGAGTTAGGGCTATAGCTTCTGAGTCAGAACTGCCTAGATTTTAAATGCTGGAGACTGCAAGTGAGAGAGGAAGAGTGGAAAAACCTTTGGTCATACCCTGTTCACTCTCCTTCTCAGTATCCACTTTCTGCCCCTGTGTGATAGGATGCTGTGCAAGATGGTGCTATGGGCTGACTCAGCAAATGATAGTTATTATGCTCGTATTTCAGTTAATGGATATTGCATATAACTGGTGCAGTAACATTGATTCTATAAGTTGGAATGTTTATAAGCTGTCATGAGCTAATAACAACTGTTTGTATGTAAAATTGGGTTGAAGTTTTGCTTGTCTCCTAAGTTCTCAAACCTGCAAAGTTCTCTGAAGGTCACTGTCTGGGCAGGGCCTGGAAGTCTAGTTTGCTGTATTACAAATAATCATTGTTATCAGTTTTCAAGGATCCCCATTGAAGAACCAGGTTGCCAATGTGCGAAGTGCTGTACAGACCCAGAACAGAAAAAAAAAGTCTTTGATCCCAAAGGATGCATCCAGATGAGCCTGCATTTGCGGGAATGGGAAAAGGTTTCCCCCGTTACAAGTTTGCAGTGGTGGGGCAGGCAAAATTAGACCCCTGGGTATCCAGGGATCAAAAAAAACAGACTCAAAAAAAGCAGGGCAACTGGAGGCTGGGTCCTCCACAGAGATGCTCTGGCTCCCAGAGCATCTCTTTGGTTGGCCCTCACCCTGGTGCTGAATCACCCTGCCTGCCCATGCAGGGCAGGCAGTGTGCCAGCAGCAGGGCTCCAGTGCCAGCAAGTAAGGGGTCGGGGGGGCTGGAGGCAGGGGGAGGGGACCATGGCGGGGACCCCTGCCAGCCCCACCTGCTCCCCCAGCCCCCACATCCCTTCCCCGCCTGGCCCCACCCCAGCATCCCCACAATTAAAAAAAACCCCAAAACAAAACAAACCCCACCTCACCCCGCACTCACCTCACTTCTAGCTGCTGTTGGGATCACTGGGGCCTCACCTGAACAGCGCGGGGCAGGGGGACAGCCCCAGTGGCGCCAGCCTGGGCCCTGCTGCCCTGTGCTGTCTACCCACATCCCTTCCCCGCCTGGCCCCACCCCAGCATCCCCACAATTAAAAAAAACCCCAAAACAAAACAAACCCCACCTCACCCCGCACTCACCTCACTTCTAGCTGCTGTTGGGATCACTGGGGCCTCACCTGAACAGCGCGGGGCAGGGGGACAGCCCCAGTGGCGCCAGCCTGGGCCCTGCTGCCCTGTGCTGTCTAGGGGGTTCTGCCAGGAGGCCCCAGAGCCCCCCCAGCCCCTGCTTCTATGGTGAGTAGGGGTTTTTATTTTTATTTATTTTTTAGGTCCCAGAGCCTGGGCTTGGAGGTACAGCCATCAGGGGGCTGGGGGTGCAAGTGGGGGATGGGCCTGGGCAAGGCAGCCCTTGGGAGGTCTGAGGGGGCGGGCAGCAATCGGGGGGGCTGGGGTGAGGCATGTAGGCACTGCAGGGAGAGGTGGTAGCCATTTGGCCCCTTGTGGGGGGACTGTGGCCCCTGTTGGGAGGGCTGTAAAACATATAGGTATTTAGAATTCATTTTATTATGATGATAGAGACACTGCTAGGTGTCCAAATTGCTTTAACATAGTAGCTATATCAATAAAACATGCCCAAGTGGTCTGTCTCTCTGTGTATATAATATAGTGATTTTTTGTTTTAATCATGGAGGAACGTGGATTTCGGGGTATTTTACAGAGTGACTTTGGGATTTTTTGATTAGGGATTTTTCAGTTTTCCAGTAGGGAACACCAGAATTTCTGCTAGGGAAGCCAGTGGCAGGACCCTGCTTGCTCAGAGCTGGCACCTTGGACCCAGCTGGAGGTGGCTGACCTCCTGGCCAAATGGGGCCAGGAGGACATGCTTTGACAGTTCAAAGCAGGTCACCACACTGGGAACATCTTCCGGGCAATAGCTGCTCAGATGGCCGGGCAAGGGCACACATGGCAGTAGTGCCGCACAAAGGCCAACCCTGCAGCCACAGGCCACTGGCAGCTGGCCCAAAGGGGAAGATGCCTCTAGTGGCTGGGGGGTCACTCTCTTGGGCTCGGAGG